ATATCAAGATTGAGACTATAAAGCGGTGCACTGAGGATATTATCAAGTGGAATGCCCTTGAAGAGAATACGCTAAAACAAAAATCCAAAATTGATTGGCTTCATTTGGGTGATGGAAATAACTCATATTTCCATGATACCATTAAAGCTAAAAATAATACCAAGAGTTTGAATTTGTTGTATAATGCAGACAGTATGGTAATTACGTCTAATGATGAAATTGATGCTGAAGTCTTAAATTTCTATGAAGTTTTAATGGGGATAAAAGATGGTAACTGTGTCATATTAATATTGTGTCCATGAGGGGTGGACCTCAAGTTAGCATGGAACAGAGGGAGAACCTTGTAGCCCCCATAACAGATCATGAAATTAGTAAAGCGTTGAATGGCATTGGTGACATTAAAAGCCCGTGAGTAGATGGTTTTGGTGCAAAAAAATTCAAAACAAGCTGGAATATTGTTAAAAATGATGTGGTTAATGTTGTAATAGATTTCTTTGAGAATGAGAGGATCTACAAGGGTTTTAGTTATACCTTAGTAACTCTCATTCCAAAAAGAGAGGAAGCTAAATCTATTAAGGAATATCGACCTATTACGGGGTGCACTACAATATATAAAATTATTACTGCTAGAATAGGGGAGGTGATGGATAGCATCGCCAGTAAGAGCCAGGTTGCTTTTATCCCTGGTCAACATATTCATAATCATATACTTTTGGCTTATGAGTTGATTAAGGGTTACTCTCAGAAAAGCATGACCCATCAGTGTATGATGCAAATAGACCTCCAGAAAGCGTATGATATGGTTAAGTGGGATGTGCTGGAATGTATTTTGAAAGAGATTGGTATGCCTCATTAATTTATTAGATGGACCATGATAGTTGTGTCCACTATTTCCTACTGATTTAATGTCAATGGTTGTCACTCTAACCTTTTGTAGGATAAATGTGGCCTTCATCGAGGAGACCCCATGTCCCCCCTCCTCTTTGTTATTGTTATGGAATATCTGAATAGAATCATGCATAACATGCAGAAGAATCCTAATTTTAACCACCATGCTAAATGTGAAAATCTTAGTATCACTAACCTAGAATTTGCATATGATTTACTACTTTTTTCAAGAGGCGATTCCATATATGTGGATCTTACGATGAATGCTTTCAATACTTTTTTCAATTTCCACCAGGCTTATTGCTAATCCTAGTAAATGTAAGATTTACTTTGGTGGTTTTGATGATGATACCAAGAGAATATTCTTGATCTTACTGGTTTTATAGTAGGTCATCTATTGTTTTGTTACCAGGGGGTGCCTCTCACTTGTAGAAAGCTTTTTATACACTACTATATGTCATTAGTGGATAAGATAGTGAGGAGAATCAAACACTGGTGCACTAATGTTTTGACTTATACGGGTCGTGTTCAGCTTATCAGGAGTGTGACGTTTTCTGTTGCAAATTATTGGATGCAATGCTTTCCAATCCCGAAGTATGTTGTTTACAAAATTGAGCCTATTTGTAGATCATTCCTTTGGACAGGAGGGCCAAAGATCAGGAGAAGGAGTCATGTTGCATGGGATTTTGTGTGCAAACTGAAATACTATGGAGGGCTAAACATTATTGATCTCAAGGTATGGAATAAGGTAAAAATGTTGAAACTTGTTGAAACAATTTTTTTAGGGTAAGTATTTACTTTATCGTATCCATAGGGATTAATGTGATATTACCATTGTTCTATAGTTAAAATTGTTTTGAGTAAGGGTTTATCAAAGGTTTTGGTATTTGAAAGCTTTGTTTGCATGAAAAGTAGTTATCAACGGTAAAAAGTTTTAGCTTTTTGGATTAAAAACCATGTCAAGATTAGTGTTCGTTAACCTATTTCATATGCAATCAATTAATCTAGAATATGAACTTATTAATGATCGATATATCCACGTATCCTCTCAATATCATTCATGTCTAAACAATATTGTGAGTACTATCATGTTAATCCTTAGATGATGTCTCAATCTAACTATTAACATAACAATCTTTAAATCTTGATACTAGTGAATATTAACCCACAAATCTATGTCTAGAGTTTTCTCATTAATATATGAATATCTTAGGTCAAGTTTGAGACATACTTTTCAATAGTGATCCAAACCATAAAAAGAATAATGAAAGCAAAGATATTCAACATATATTTATCATCAACCAAGTTCATACAGAAGATGATTAAAATAAATACATAATAGTTAGGTTAACTACCTATAATCTTAACACAAGAGAAATTTAGCTATCCATAGACATGGTAGTTTCAACAATAAGAAAAGAGAGAAGATGATCAAGCATCAACGATAATTTCTTGACTATTGATGCTTTGAATCTTCGATTTCTTCTTCTACAATGTTTTCTATCAGTTTTCCTCTCTCAAAATGTGTTACCCCATAAAAACATCTAAAGACAACTACATATACATGTGGCGAGCTTCGCAGACCGTGCTATCTCGCGCTAAGCGTGCTTTTCTTAAATGCTAAACCGCCTTAGAGTGTGCTAAGCGCCAAATATCGGGCTAAGCGTGCTAGCATCTTCCAGAACTTCTTCCACCATGCTGTGACCGCCCTAAGCGCGACCTGAAGCACACAAAATCCTTCCAAAAAATCTTGAAATCCATCTTTAAGCTAATCCAATTTCCAAGCTTCAATCCAAATCAAAATCCTATAAATTTAAGACAAAAAATGATTAACTAGAAACTATTTAATTGATTAAATAAAAATAGGACTATTTACATAGAAACAAAATGGAAACAACAAAATATGTGATAAAACAGAATCGAAAAGCACCAATAACTATACTAAATACTAACACATTTTGGCACCTAACAAAACTCCTTTGGAGTCTTAGTGGTAAATCTGATAGTCTGTGGGTGAAGTGGGCCAATGCTTACTATTTGAATAAGGACACAATGATGAATGTGAGTGTAAAGACTCGCAACTCATGGATTATGAAAAGTGTCCTGAAGCATCGTAGTAGCATATTGGATATTCAGCCTATATGGGATAGTATTCAAGGGAAAAATTGATTTATTATGAGGGAGGTTTATAAAAGTCTCTGCACCACCACTCTAAAAGTGCGATGGCGTAATCTGTTTCGAGGGAATATACCAAGGTGTAGAGATTTGATGACCATATGGCTTGCTTTCCATAAGAGGTTAGCTACTAAAAGCTATTTGAAAAAAAATTGGTATGATTGAGGATAGTGGTTGTTGTTTTTGTCTTGCTGATGAATGAATTAATCACGTGTTTTAAGGATGCCTTGAGCTTAAAATACTATGGACTAAAGTTCTTGAATGGATCCAAATCAAGAGAGTTTCGCTTGAGTGGAACGAAGAATTAGATTGGTTAATATCATCCAAAAAGGGAAAAGGATGGAAACATGCAATTTTGAAATTAGCTGCTGCTGAAACTTTATATGGAGTTCGGAGATACTGTAACGACAAGGGTTTTGATAATGCTGTTGATAATACAAAAATAACGGAAATAATTATAGATGCGATAGCTTATAGAGGTTGTTATAGTGGGAAACTTAGAGACCATATAGCTAAACTAATGATGATTTGGTTTGCTTTTGTCTTTTTTGTTGACTGGATCGTAACAATTGTCTTGTATTTCAATTTTACTTTTTGAATAACTACAGAGTTTGTTTATTAAAAAAATAATTTTTTTTTCTTTTTTTTACATAAATAAATAATATATATTTGATTTTATTATTTTTGTAAAATAGATTTAAAACATACTGTTAAAAATAAAACAAAATATTTTTAAAAATATAATATTATTAAAATAGAAATAAATATATATAATATTATTAAAACTGAATATTTTTACAATTTAATTTATAAGAGCCCGTTATCAAAAGTTGAGGTCTCATTTTTTTAGGTCTTGGATTATGGGTATGTTTGCCCTGGCCTAGGGTCGGCTTTGGTGAAACACATGCAGACGAAGACGTGTCATCTTTTGGAGACAGGACCGTTCGTTACAATTATTTAGATTTCAGTATAAATAGGAAATTTTAGTGGTAGATTTCGTGTATTAACATTACTGCAAAAAATTTAATATATTCAAAGTATCCGAGTAGAGTGAGAAAAGAGTAACTGAGTGTAATGTATGTATTCAAACACCATATTTTTTCAATGCAAAATCTTTTACATTAAATTACTTTTCTGTATTTTACTTTTTTTCAGAAATTATACATTTCCTGCATTTAACATTTTTACTTAACTTTAAAGACTTCGATTACATCGAAATCTTCACCTCTTTTAGACAAAAACTATAAAAAAAAAAAATTATGTGCATATATCCTAAATTCAATCTAGTCTATCATACACGTAATCTTTTGGAAGACCAGCGTTTATTTACTAAATTTTACAGTAAAGACATATGTCGTCTTACTTGTGGACCTTCGTAAATATATCACTACATATATTATTTATACTTTTCAATTATTTAAACAACTCAACTACATTTTAATGACCTATAAAGAATTTAAAATGAATTCTACCAACTATATAAGATGTTTCATATTTATAGAAACATTAGCTTTTTATTATTTTTTAATTCAAAAGAATTTGATCAATGCCATGTAGAGTAAAGCTTCTATGGGTAGAAATGTTTCTTAAATGTGAATCATCTCATAACTGTGACAAAAGAAAATTCGGTTTTTGTGTGTACACACACTCAAGAATTGGCGATGTGGATGCCCTAAAGGTATCGTCGCGGGGATGCATTCACATATGCAAATTGACTTCCCTAATCGAGAGAAGTGAATTATACTTTGGTGTTTCTGCTAGAAGAAAAATGAAATCCTTATTGAAAATTATCCATCAAATTTTCACTTTACATACAAGATGGCCAAATATTCTTACAAGCAATAAAGTAGACAAGAGCAGTAAATTCAGTAAGTTATTCATGGGAAGTTTTATGAATGGAAAGGAAATGAATATGTTGTTGAACTTGATAATACACCTCATATACTCCATGGAAAATGAGTCTCTTTAGTTAGAGGCTCTTTAGTTAGTGTTTTTGCAAATGCTTCCCACCACTTTGCTGCCTCCTTATCTTTTAACATGATGTGTATAATAGCCTGCATTCATATATTCTTTTTAGTATAAATATGATTGAGTTTAATTCATCTTTATAACACCGACTTATAAGTTGAAGACTCTTTTTATTTAAGTGATTTATTAAATTTTAATTTAGTCTCTGAAACTATATTAAAAAATATGGTTGGTCAAACTTATTCTTATAAAACCGTAAAATCGATTTGTAAGATGAGAATTATCTCCACTTATAAACACACATGTTTAATATATAATATGATATGAAACACTTGACATATAATATTAAAATGAAAAAAATATTATGATATATAAAATAGGTCACCAACCTTATAGAAAATAATATCAGCTATTGCTTGCTTATCATGATGCGCCTCAATCTCATCGCTTTTGTTGTTGTAAATATCAAGAAGTTTGCTAATCTTTTTCTCTAAATCTATTTTTCTCTGTACCATGAATATTGAATGCATTAGTTAATCTAATGATATGAAAATATCATACACATATTTCTAATCAAATTGAAAATTAGTAAGAATGAATTTCATTTACCCGTTTAGGGTTTACGAGAATATCAATTTCTTCGTCAAGGAGTTTCCGGGCTTCATCGAAATGTCCCTGTAAAATTAACAATTATATAATCAATTCTTCACAAAAAGAAATAACGGCCCAACTTGTCTGTTATTTCTGTATAATCTTGATTATATTAATTAATCAAAAAAGTTATTTTATTTAAGAATCCAAAAAGTTTAATTAATTGGATTAGAAGAAGCTTGAAATTTCACTAGTCAATCATATAAATATTTTGAACCTGAATCAAGAGAAGTTCCATCAATGATAATCGAACCGAACGTTCTATAGCTGAATACTCATCTTTAGATTTGATGTATTCAGATTTTAACTCATTCAATTTCTCCTCTACTTTATCTTTCTTCCCACATTTTCTTAGATATAGAGCATGCTTCTGAAATTATAATTCCAACAAAGACGAAATAAACAATAGTTAATAGTCAAATTAATATGAATCTAATTGAGTTTTCAATTAACATAACAAAACAAGATAAACTAACCAACCTTCTTATTATCAACAGTAGGAGGAGAATTGAACTTGATTTCTGATTCTATTAATTCAGCATTCATCGAGTTCCACAACGAATTGAACGAACGCTCTCCTCCACTAAATGATTCAACGTTAGGATTAATAGCATAAGCATTGTTGAACTTAGAATTCATCATCTTGCTATTAAAATTAAACATTCCAAGAATGCAACCCAAAACTATAGAAACTCCATTTATTCCTCTCAAAATGTTGTTGTCACTTGTTTCAATATTCTTTGAATTAGGCACAGAGAAGCTATTACTACTCGTGCAATTTGCATGGCTAATTGAACGTGTAAGATTGTGGTTTATGGTGCATTGAGGGAAACAAAGAGTGGTTTGGTTGAATCTAACATGAATTTTTTTATTTTCATATGATTTGGAACCATATGAAAAAGGACTAAGAATTGGAGAACATTGAAGGCTAAGAGCATAATGTTCCATCTAGTTAGGTAGAAAATGAAAGGGACAAATTAAAGGCTAAGAAGTAAACAATATTATATATTAATTTGAGAATGAAATGAATCTCTTGAATGAAGGGTTGAAGACAAGTATCACTTTTTTCCTACGTTAAAAGGAAACTACTGCACATGGAAAGCCTGACAACAAAAAAATGAATTCTTTACTTGTCTACCAAGACTTGAATTAGAATTTAGAATGTTTGATGATATCTATAGGACATTTTTTTGTTTTTGTTTTTTTTTGTTTTTGATTGAATTGCTTGTCGAAATAGTGATGTTTATTGATTGACAGATTAAAGGGAAAAGTAAAAGAAAAAGGTAAGAAGTTAAGATTCAGTATAGACCAAGTGGACGATTGTGATTATTTTCAATCAAAGTAATAAATAGAAGAAAAATAAAAAACTAACAAATAAAATAGGTTCAAAACATGAAAAAACACTATAATTAAAAAGATCATCATTTCATATGAGGATGGTTCCCACCACCAAAGAGACCGTTTAAGGAAACCGTAAGAGAAAAAAAATGTAGAGTTGTTGTATGTCGATTAGAATTGGAAACCAGCTTTAGGAGAAAGTCATGAGCAACTCATTCAAGACTTTGGAGACAACGAGAAGATGAAAGGTATATCCAATGAGATATTTCAGCTAATGTCTCACGAATTCTCATTGATGAAAAGAGTTCGTGCAACATTATGTACGCCGAATTATTTACTAAACTAGGCTTGACGCTTGAGGAAGAAGCCTAATTATTTACTAAACTAGGCTTGACGCTTGAGGAAGAAGCCCCTTACTTATCCATACACAGGGAACATATTTGGTAGTGATCAACAAAACAATAACCCGTCTGTTGTACCCCAAAATTTTCCCTCCCATATTTCTCAAAGCATTACAAGAAAGATCTCAAAATTGCTCAAGGTTGCTCAAGAATTGGTCAGACAAGCTCTCTCCTAAGGCAGTCTTCCCCAAATTAGGGTTTCACATTGCATCAAGATTCTTGGGTCCAAGTGGTCCCAAGTGCTCACCAATATCCTAATATGTTCTCAAGATCATCCATGTCAAGTTTCAAGTCTTGCAAAGGAATTTTGCTCAATCAATTGCTCAAAGATCCAAAAGTCGATTGTGCTAGGGCAAAAGTCAACTGTGACCCACATACAGTCAAAACTCAAGATTTTTTGTCAACATTCTCATTTTGAAGTATATTTCATCATTTGATCAAGGGTTGATCATGATTCATCAAGGATTGCTCAAAATTCATCAAGATTCAAAAGTTGCTAAATTATGGTTTTGTAGGAAAAGTCAACTCAACTTTGACCAAGCATAACTTTCTCATACTTTATGATAAATGACCCATCCAAAGCTCAGTTTTAAGAGGATGTAATTCTCTACAATCCATATTCATATCCCAAGATCAAAAAATGCACTCACAAGAAGTTATGAATTTGGACATTATAGGTCATTTTGAAAAGTCAACTAAAATACCTTTTTTGTCAAAGCTTCTAACTTGAGCATGAAATATCAAAATTATATGAGATCAAAAGTATTGATTAGAGGACATAACAAGCTTTCTAAAAAGTCCAAGAACACCTCCAAAACTTCAAAATTGAGGAAGTTATGCATTGTTGAAGTTAGACTTTTTTGCAAAATTGCCAAAAGTCAATTATCCCCAAAACTTCAAATTTTGCCAAATGGGCCCATTCTTTTTCACTTGTTTTGAGTTTGCATTATTGCCTACGTGCTCTAGCCTTGGCCATGTATCCATATCATATCTAATTTGATTTTTATTTGAATTGATTCATTTTAAAGCAAATTAAATCAAATTAAATCAAATAAAATCAAAAATATTGATAACCAAAGATCTTTTGATGATTTCAGGTTTCAATGGACAGCTTGCACCATATCAAACTCGTACCAAGGCATAAGTGTACAAAACGATATGATTTGGATCAAATTTGGAAGGTGGTTAAAGGAGGATCAAATCAAATATTCAATCATCAATGGAGGAAGATTTTGACAAAACTTGCAACCCTAATACATTGGCAAAAATCAAGAAAAAGTGTGACTTCGAAATCAGTCATAGAGGCATCCTCAAGGCTTGACAAGTATCTCAATCTCTTCCTGGCCATCTCCACAAGCGAAAGCAACCAAGACAACGCGTTTTCAGACCCTCCCAAGCGCTGTACAATTAGCCTACATAATGGCTATGGTTGTGATCAGCAGGTTGAGACGAATCCAACCATGCTCTTAGAACCTATTTTCATGGCCTATACATAATTTTGAGGATGAACAAGTTTGTAGCGACGGATCTTTGTCCGTTGGTATAGGTGTTTTGACTTTTGGCCACAGAGAGGGGAAGAAGAAGCAGTCGTGTCATCCTCCCATTTGTCCATTCAAACCAGCGCGCCTTTTTTTTGTCCATTAAATTTCATTTTTTTTATATTATAATTGTTTTGCATTATCATAACAAATGAAGACAAGCGTTCCAGTGGTAGCCACGTTGGCCTTAAGGACCCAAAGGCTGGAGGTCAGGGGTTCGATCCCTGCCTCCAGCAATTTGCATTTTCATATTTGTTTTCAGGTAATCTAGTGTACGCGCATGCCAGGAGACCATCATACTCCCTCACTCTTCAGCATGCCAGATGGCCAGATCTGGTGGTCAGCATCAAGGGTGCACCAAAAGGCTAGTCAACACATGTACACAAGATCCCAAAAAAGTCCAATGGATCAGCATATTTAGGCCAAAATAATTGCTTTCCAGACCTCCAAATCTCAGGCCCAATTTCTCTACTTTCTTTATTTTGTTTATTTTCATTTATTACTTTATTATTTTTAATTAATTTCTAACCAATGAACAATTTTTTTTTTAATCAAAAATCACCAAAAAAATATTTGTACCCCAATTAAAATTCAAAAACTTTATTTTTGTTAATAAATATTAACTAATCAATTAGGTTTTTAATTCTAGAATAACTTTAATTTATTTTGTAAATAAATAAAATCAATTAGAATTAATTAGGTTTTAACTTTAGTTTAATTATTTTATTTTCTTTCTTAAAATATCAAAAACACCAAAAATATGTCATTTATTATTTTTCATCAATTAATTTATTTTATAAATAATTTAGTATTTAATTTAGGATTTAATTTCTTTTTCTTAAAATAAAAACAACAAAAAGCATTTTCTTTTTAAAGGGTCAAAACCCTAATTCGCATTCGATTTAATTTCCCTCGCGCTTTATTTTTCTTTATCCAATGGATGTATCTGCTCCTGACTTGTAATAGTTTTAAATAGGACATTTATTTATTTTACCGCTTTATTTTTACTTTCAAAGGGTTGCTTTTGGCGATGTAAATACCCGACGCCTTGTAATAATTTAGTTTAAATTCCGCATTTTAATTCTGCAAATTATACAACTGCTAGATGTTTGGTAATAGGGCTTGCATGATAAGAATGAATGTTTAATCTTAAAATGGTTAGATCACCCTAAACATGTGCAAAGATAAAAATAACTGAAATCAACACACTCGCACATGCGCACTCCTAGGGTATACCCCACTTGGTTGCCTTTGTAAACGGTCATTGAGTATAGGTTGTTTTAGAGGTCGTCCTCTTGTCTAAAAGATCATAGTTGCCTCGAAATGGTTGCCTCGGATATTGTTGCCTCAAACAAATGATCTAAGACATTAGGGTTATCGCTAAGACGTCCTAACATTGCTTTAGTGACCATATGTCCCTCATTCGAATTAATCCTCAAACTCCAACGACGGTGCTACCTACTCACTAATAGTGGGATAGCATTGTCTAAAGGAAATTAACATAGAACGGTTCCTTTTTCGAGTAGGTAGATTGATTCTTAGATACTTGCTCATCCAAAACAAATTTTCACACTTACACTTTTACAAACAAGTTTTCAAAAAACACTTCATTACACTCTTGAAGACAGACGCAAGAGTTAAATCGAAGTTAAAACAAAAAAAATTCAAAACCCACAAGCACAAAGAAAACATTTTGAAAATGATGAGCAAGTACCTAAGAGCCCGTAGATAACTACAGATAGAAAGGGTGTTAATACCTTCCCTTTCTATAATCTACCCCCCGTACTCAGAAATATCTCGAAAAAAGGAATTTTTCTGTGCTTTTTTCCTTTCCTTGTTGGATAAAATAAAAGTCGGTGGCGACTCTTGCTTACCGTGACATTTTGCGAACAAAAACGTAAAACACGAACCAGCATTCCAAAAACAATCAGTTCTTCCCACCGTATCACAGAACTGGCGACTCTGCTGGGGATGATTTAAGTGGGGTGTACCTTAGGAATAGTTCATCATAATGTTTTCAATTTCTTGATTTGTATGCTTTATCTTTGTGGGTTTGAATCGGAGTTACTATAGATCCTAACCCGGGTCTGGGGATACCTTTTAGGTAAGTAGCAATAGACTGTGAGGGAACTGTACGGCGTAGACCGATACGGTTGAAGCAGTAGCTACGTTGGTGTGGCACTTTAGTTTGTACCGATATCCCTTGTGGTGGAACAAGGAGAATATGGGTCAGCTAAGGGGTCATTAAGAACCAACTGACCTTAGAACCTATAATTGACCAACTTGGCCATAGAAAAGTAGCAGTATGCTACACTCATTGAGACCAAACTCTCGCGATGATTCTAGCCGCAAGAAAAGGTTGCCAAACTGGAATTATGACTGATCGAGGATGGTCAGTGATATTGAGATCCTCTAGAACCCGGTTACTATTACTAGGACAGGTTTAAACCAACTAAACTGAAAGAGGGTAATGCCTAAACCCCATGCCAGCCTGAAATCTAAGGGCTACTATGTGACTTGTTTGCCCTTACCATGTTTGCTATCTGTGAATACTTGTGGTGTGTTTCTATCATAACATCATGCATCATGACATTGCATGCATCTTGCATCAAGACTAACCTATTTCAAAGACATAGGGGATTCATCTTTGTTCTGTTTTGTAGGTCATGGC